CTCGTTCAAATAGCTCGAGCTAGATGACTCTAAAGCCGGACCCAGTCTCGCACGGAAAATTCTTACAAAGGACTAAGTATATTTAAGCCGAGCCCATCTCGTCATCGTGACGCTCGAAGACAATATCAGGGCCGAGCCCTTGACCCGGATGACGACCGTAGTCACCCAGGTAGTCCAGCTTGAATTGGGAGGTCTCATATCCAGGGTTGGGCGAGCTAGACCTGAGAGCCAAGCTCTTACCAGCCTTGGCACCAACTGCACCGTCATGCCTTACCCGAGAAGGAATCGCACTCGGAGAAGGACGCGAGGTCGACATAGCACGAGAGCTCATCAGGAGAGGTCGATCCGAGCTCGAAGCGGTTCTGCCCCGATTGGCAGTCGGACCACGCTGATTCTTCTGAATCAACGGCTGGTGGTCAAGAGGAGACCTCGGGAGATTCATCGCCCCGCGAAGGAGAATACTCGAGGCTCGGAGTATCGCCGGAGTTAACCGAGTCGGATTCTTCACGATCGTTTAAGTTAGAAGACATGATAAAGAGACGGCCAAAAAACCTAGAAGTCGAACGAAAAAAGTCGGGGAATCAACTGAAATAGCGCGGAGATCTGAGCGAAAATCTGGAGATCTCACCGGGAAATCCGAAGCCGAGCAGACAAATCGAGATTGATCTGGAGAGAAGTTAGAGAGAAGATTACCTTTATCCGGAGAAATCAAGGAAGCAGATGGAGGAATTCGAAGTCGGAGTCTCGGTTATGTAGACGAAGATCGGAAGACGAAGGGTCGCTCCACGACATCTGCACACCGCCTCTTAAGGCTAATCAGAAACAAACAAACAGTGGGCCGAAAGAACTGATGGGTCTCCAAACAACATCGACGAGCCCAGAACCGAACATACTCGCCGACTAGGGGCTACTGTTGGGCATGGGCTTGATAATCTCAATTATAAAGCCCATCTCGCCGAGCTCGGCCAAGCAGAATTCTAGGCCCAACCCAAGTTCCAAAGAAAACCCTATATAAATGTACTTACTCATTCTAGTATAAAAGGGAGACCCCTCTCTTTGAGTTTTCTCATCACTTTTCCTCTTTTAGAGTAGTACAAAGGACTAAAGAACTAACTGTTTTCTGAACTCTAACTCAACTAAGAGAGAAAGAATTCTGTTTGTACGATTCCGCCGAAACCGTACAAGAATTCCTTGGTAAAGAGATTCTCAACGTACGTACTTATCACCGATCTCAGAGTACTTATCACCAGGTTCCGATCTCAGATTATTCAAGGTTCCAACCTCAAACAGCGAGCAAGGTTCCGACCTCAAACAGCAAGAGTTCACTAGCTTCCGAGCTCAACATCATCTCTTATCTTACGTTTTGTAATCCATTTCCGAATACAATATCAATAAACGATGATTTCCGAGTCCCTTTACAGTTTAATAAATTTATTGTCGAACTCACGTATTAACAGTAGACAAGTTAAGCATGCACGCAAACAACGAAACGAATAACAAGTTAAGCATGTAAGCGAACAATGAAGGAAGTAATGAAACAAAAAAAAACAAATAAGCAAAGAAGGAATCAAACCACACAATTTAGGCAATTTATGAGCAATGGAGTAAGCAAATATCAAAGAATCACAGAAACAAAGAAGGACGAACGTAAACAAGTTAAACATGTAAGCAAAGCAGTGAAAGAAATAAGGAAGCAGTTCAACAATGAAATAAGGGAAAAAAAAAGTAAAGAAGGATGCAACTAAACAAGTCAATGATGTAAGTAATGAAGCAAGCAATGAATTAAGAAAGTGTGTACCTTTAC